CCCCAATAAAATGATTAAAAAAATACTGCTGGAAAACTATTTGAGCAACACTGGGTTTATTATGAAACAAACAATTTTACATCACTAAAATGAAATTTGTAAAAGCTAACTACAAACCCGAATCTCCTCTCAGTGGACTACTTCCTTGTATTTCAGCTCTGCAGAACCCCTTTCTGAACTCTCCCATCATAACGTCAGATCAGAAGGTCCCATGACTCCTACTCAACCTCTTCTATAGAAAACTGTAGACAGTAAATTCTGTGAAGCTTATATACATTTGGCTAGACTACCATTTCTTCCCTCTTGCCTTCCCACATTCTGACCTTCCTCAGGCACAGAAGCTTTGCATTCAAGGCTCACTATTTTTCTGTGACTCTGTGTCTGTGGACCAGCATCCTGCTTCTTCTGAAGGCATCGGCCCTCTCCATTTTTTATTTACCTTCCTGTTCTAGCTTAGGCTCTGGCCTTTCTGACTCCTTTTTGTGTGCCTCTTCAGAGGCAACTTTATCATGAGGCTAAGGATGCCTACACTTCAGGGCCTCTCATTTAAATGAGCCCCTTCCAAAGCTCTGCACTGAATTTTGTATTTGTAATTTTGTAATATATTCTTAAGGAACTCTCCTTCAATAGTATATGCTTCAGGCTCCTAAAATCTGAATTGACTCTTGACTCCCTTTACAAAACCTTCATTGTGGATGCGTCTAATTCTACTCTCGCTCCCTTTCTACACTGGATTGGTAGATAAAACATTTTGGCACCATGAACTTGACTACTGACCTTTAATGGGTTCTCAAAGCTGTCTTTCCAAGTCTTCCTGTTGAACATATTTTCCCCTTTCCCCATGTACCAGTTGAATCCACCTTGCTCTCTCCTCAAATCTTTGAACCACTATCAGCAAGTTACTTCACCTTTTGTACTAAGAAATGTCTCCTGTTTTTACTGAATATATATACTTGTTAGCTTGAGAATTCTTCTTTCCTTCTGTTAATGAAGAAAGAATTTCCTCTTTGCATAAGTGAGACTTATAGTTCCTTAGAATTGATTTCTTCTTATCATGTCATGAATCTTGATTATGTTTATTCAGTCTTTCTCATTGAGGTGATTTTTTTCCATTTGAATTTAAGCATGTCTAATGCTCATTTAAAAAGACAGGAAAGAGTCCATCACGAGGTTGGGTATACAGCTTATCTCCACCCCTGCAAAGGGGGCGAATAACAGAATGTGGGTGAAGGGAGACAATGGGCAGTGTAAGATATGAAATAATAATAACAATATCTAATTGATCAAGGATTCTGAGGGAGGGGGGAAAGGAGGGGAAAAAGAGGACCTTATGCCAAGGGCTCAAGTAGAAAAAAAAGTGTTTTGGAAATGATGATGGCAACTTATGTACAAATATGCTGGATACCATTGATGTATGAAACGTTATAAGAGCTGTAAGAGCCTCCAATAAAATGATTTAAAGGGAAAGTGCTCCTACTAAATAAATCAGATAAAAAGACAAGACAGAAAGGAAAGACCAAGATGGGTGTCAGAACAGGCACTGAAATTTGCTTTTTTTTTTTTTTGAATATTATTATTATTTTAATATTATTTATTTTATTTAAGAGCATAAGGAAGAAATGATGCAGTAAGAGAGATTGTATTAACTGGGTTGACTAGAGAAACAAATTCATAGACACTCATGTGTGTATAGGAAAGAGCTTTATATAAAGAGTAATAGTGTGTTAAGAAAACATCACAGCCCAGTCCAGATCAAGTCCATAAATCCAATATTAGCCCATATATCCGATACTAGTCTATACATACTTCAGACTCACACAACACATACAATGATGCAGGAAGATTACAGGTCAGTGGGTGGAAAGTCTTGTGGATCCAGTGGTATTGGAAGCATCTCGGCACTGGTGTGGATCTCCATGTGGCTCCTTCAGCTCCCAGGCTCTGATGAGCATAGCTTCATGTGACTTGTCAACAGAATATGAAGCAGAGAGAGTGTGTGTCCCACCTATAGGGAGGAAGATAGGAGTTCCCAGAATCCTCAGAAGAAGGCCATGCCAACCAGAGGCCTCAATGTCTATGACTTCATTGACAGGCTAAATTCCACCCCTTCACAAGTTGACAGGAAATTATATAACTACCACAGATATGAACCGTAGATTTCAAAGAGCACCTCAAGAAGGCAAAGTAAAATGCTATAATGAAACATTCAGAGAACTGAAGACTGAAAGCCAAGAGGGAAGACCATGCTAGATACCACTTGTTGAGATAGAAGAAGAACAACAGCAAATCGAGTATTGTGTTGCAATATTGAAGGAGTCTGTGGGAAAATTTTTGATGCGTCGGAAACTATCAAAAGAAGATGGAAGGAGTACATAGTTATTGTACCAAAAGAGGTTGTTGACATTGACCCATTTCAGAAGCTAGCATGTGATCAAGACTCGATGGAGCTGAAAGAGGTCTAAACTGACTGAAGGCATTGGTGAAAACAAGGATTAGAGTGGTTCAACAGATGGATATAATGTAGGTGCTCATTTGTCTATACCACAAATTTTTCAGCTGACTGGAAAGCTCCATATTTGTGCCCTTTTCAAAAAAAGTGATTCAAAAGGATGTGGTAATAATTGAACAACACCGTTAATATCACATGCAAATAGAATTTTGCCAAAGATTATTAAAAAGTGTTTGTAGCAGTACACCAACAGTGAACTGCCAGAAATTTAAACAATATCTAGAAGGGGATGCCATTGCTGATATCAGAAGAATCTTTGCTGGAAGCAGAATATACTAGAAAGATGTTTACCTGTGTGATTATGTGAATGCATTTGATTATGTGGATCATAACTAATTATGGGTAACATTGTAACCCGATAAAATGATTAAAAAAAAAAAAAGGAATGAGAATTCCTGAGCACTTCATTGTGGGGTACATAGACTGTCATTCCAACAGAATAAGGGGAAACCACATGGTTTAAATTGAAAAGAAAACTCTGTATCAGGGTTATATTGTTTCAGTATATTTATTCCATCTGTATGCTGTGCAAATAATCTGAAAAGTTGGACTATGTGAAGACGAATGCAGCATCAGGATCAGAGGAAGACCCATTAACAAGCAGCGGTATGCAGGTGACACACTGTGTTTGCAGAACTCTAACAGAACTAGACGCACTTACTGATGAGGATCTAAGTCCATATGGATTATGTCTCATCCTAATGCAACAAATATCCTCATAATTGGACCAATAAACTGTATCATGATTAATGGAGAAAAGAAAGTTGTCCAGGATTTTGTCTTTTTGCCTTCACAATCAATGCTCATGGGAGCAGCGGTGAAGAGATCCAAGATGCACTGCATTGAGGAATCGGCTGCACAAGACCTTCTTAGAGTACTGAAAGGGAAGGATGTTACTTTGAGGACTAAGGTGCTCCTAACCCAAGCCATGGTATTTTCTGTTGCCTCATATGTATGTGGAAGTTGGGCCTTGAGTAAGGAAGATTGAAGAAGATTCAATGCATTTGAATTGTGGTGCTGGAGGAGAATATTGAAAGTACCATGGACTGCCAAGGGACATACAAGTCTGTCTTGGAAGAGGTACGGCCGGAGTGCACTTAGGGAAAGGGATGCCAAGACTTTGCCTTACATGCTTCAGGCATGTTATCAGAAGAGAGCAGTCTTTGGAGACAGACATCGTGCTTGGTAAAGTAGAGGGGCAGTGAAAAAGAGGGATCCCTTCAGCAAGATGGATCTATACAGTGGTTGCAACAATGAGCTGAAACAAAAGTTCAGTTGTTAAGACAGCACGGGACTGGGCAGTGTTTTATCCTGCTGTACATAAATAAGGTCCCTATGAGTTGGAAATGAGGTGTTGACACCTAGCAATGTCAGGAATCTTATTCTCAACCTCAGGACTTCGTAAGTGATCTGAAGCAGGCCTTTGCCTTATACACTGTGGTTGTGCCGTGGCAGTTTCCGGTGGAAGAAGAGATACAAAGTATACTTGGGATTTCCAGGAGCCAGCAGTCTGCCACTAGAAAGTGGTCAAGTTTGATTCTAAAAGAAATTTGGCTATTACAGTTTTGTAGTTAGTACTGTTGTTGAGTTGGCCCCCGATTCACACGATGATCTGATGAAGAATGAGATTGTGATTTTAATTATTGATATTCAGAAATAGATTTGGGGCTTCCGCTCTAGTTTGCTGAAGCTTGTTTAGCATCAAAGCAGTACCTAAGTCTCTGCTGACAGATGTGTGGTCCTGGGCCAGGAATGAACCCCACGTCTTGGGCATGGAAGGAGGTAATTCTATTACTGAACCGCCACTGACTGCCCTCTTAGAAGAGATTCAAGCAGTGGATAAGTTGGGGTGTATTGAATATAAAAACATTCCTTATGTAATATTGCTGACAATTCCTTTAAATTTCCCCTTTGTGAACCTTGTTTTGTAATAGTTTGATCACCAACAAAGTATTTTTGGATTTCCATGCAGTATAAATAATGGTTGGTGTTTGTTTATGAATCTAGGTATGGTGTCTGTTTTGGACTTGATGCAGGGTGGTTTTCCCTCACGAGCTTCATTTCATGAACTCTATAACATGTATAAAAAATACATGCCAGACAAGCTTGCAAGATTGGACCCGAGACTATTTTGTAAGGTAAAATCCATCCATGGTGAAATGTCTGGAGTTCTATAAACTGTCTTTCCTGTTAATTAGTTACCTTCTAACTTTATTATTTTCATTTTCAGGCTCTTTTTAAAGCTTTGGGCTTAAATGAAGTTGACTATAAGTTTGGGTTAACAAAAGTATTTTTTCGACCTGGCAAGGTAAACAAATTTTTGTTTGAAATTTGATGTCATAAACAGTGAAAAGTTAAAGCTAGTGAATATTTTAAAGTATTTTGTGGTTTGTATGGTTTTTAAATCATATAGTGACTAACAGCATGCATAAAGACACACATGAGCAAAATGCACACACGGTCTCCCTCCTTGGGAGGTGTCAACAGGTGTAATGCTCTCTCTGCAATTTCTGGTGTTCGCCAGCTTTGTAAGTGTCAGACTCTGGGCACTTAGTTGGCTTTTTTTTTTAAGAGTTAATCAGAAATACTTAATTTCAAACATACTCGAAGGTTTTAGAAAAAATAATAACTCTTTAGTGATTAAGATTTCATAATATTTTTGAGTCTTCATTATGCAAACAGAAAAGTATAAGAGATTGGACTGAATTTTGTACCGACTTCTTTCAAATCCTAGAATTACACACACACACACACACACACACACACACAGAGTTTGGTATGTAACATTTGTTTTTTAGACTTACATACAACCCTAGAGCTGTAATATATACAGGGTCTCATTGTGAGTTGCAAGAAAGTTCTAGAATACCTCATAAAAAAACAAATATAGCACAGAGAATTTTAAACTCTATTCACAATCAGTAGTATTTTCAACATTTCTAATTTCTTTAATATGGACTGAATAATTATAATTTCATTCTCATAAATTTAAACATAGCTGTTACTATATTTAAGTAGTTGATCATTCTTGTTTTTGTTTGGCAGAATCATTAATAAAGCTCTTCAGTGCATTTAAGTCTAACTTAATCATAATAAATAAATCTTATTTCACATTTTTGGGCATGAGATGAAATGTCACTGTACATTACTAATGCATGTACTTCCCTGTGAGTATTTTTATGTCAGAGGACTCATCCTGTTCCCTACAGAAGGGAAAACATGAAGAGAATACGGATATACGTGTGTATCATTGGTTAGGTGTTACATGTGTTTTTCACAAAACCAGCCTTTCTATTGATTCAGAGCTACACTAATTATGTCAGAACTAATAGCCTCTTAGAGGAAACAGTTCATCTTGTTTGTGTCCAGAAAGAGTCAACGATTGAAAGATAAGTTGGAAGGTTAAGGCAAAGATCCAAAGATCTTTAATCTCATTATGTTTAGTTTAGTTTTGACCCAACAGTAGACAGGAAACGGATAGCTCTATGGAATCCTTAATATTATAGTGGGAAATTTGAGAAGTGACAGAAATTAGTACTCGGTAGATAGTCTTGTGTTTAAACAGTGGACATTTTATTAATTATTAACCTTTAGCTATAATGTGTAGTTGTGTTGTCTTTTACTAGCAATTTCATACCTCTGATTATAAAGTGGGTGGAGGATGGGAGACAAAGTAGTTGTGTTATCTGATAATACTTAGCTTGCCTTTACTTATTGATGAGTAATAAAGGAATGTCTGAGACTATGGGGGGAACCTAAAACAAAAGCCACGAGTGTATTGGCTTTTAAATTCATTCTTAATTAGCTCATTTCATTTTTTCCTGAAAACTTTGTTATCAGATCTGCTAGTTAATAGTAACAGTCTCCACAAAGAGGAAGGAGAGGAAAAAGGCAGCAGTGTGGCCCGGAGTGCTTGGCTGTGCCGTATATCTTCTGGGTCACGCCTGCGGCATTTGCGAGTGGGCATTTCTAGGAAGTTTAGATTTTGGGCTTCGCGCTCCATCTGTTCTGTGTTTATGTGTGTGTTTAAACACACTTATCCTTTGATACTGATATTAAATTATTTTGCTTCCTAGTTTGCAGAATTTGATCAGATTATGAAGTCTGACCCTGACCACTTAGCAGAATTGGTGAAGAGAGTCAATCACTGGCTGATCTGCAGTCGCTGGAAGAAAGTCCAGTGGTGCTCCCTCTCAGTCATCAAATGTAGGTGTTCTCTTTCACACCAAGAGCTCTCCGTGTCTTGGAAATGAGTTGGTTTGTGAGTGCTGCACAGGAGCCCCCGTTGGTTTGTGAGTGCTGTACAGGAGCCCTGGTGGCATACTGGATTACTCATTGGGCTGCTAACTGCAGTTTGAAAGTTGAGGCTTTCTACTCCTGTAAAGAGTTGTCAGTCTCTGAAACCCACAGAGGCAGTTCTACTCTGTTCTATAGGGTCGCTCTGAGTCAGACTGGACTGCATGGCCGAGAGTGGAGTGCCGAAAACTGCCTCCGGAGTGAGTGCGGGGTGACAGGGGCTGCCTTTCTGCTCATTGGGCCCCTGATTCCTCAGCAGCACCTCACATGTAGTTACGTGGTACAGTAGTCGTTACAGACTGTGTTTGTGTGTGCATTTCTGAGTGTTTATTTCTCACTCGATCTGAAAGTGTTATAACCATCTAGCTGCCCTGGAGGTGATTCTGAGCCTGGTGACCCCATGAGGGTCAGATACATAAGCCACATAAGCTATATAAGGTTTTCCATGGCTGATTTTTCAGAAGTAGATAATTAGGACTCTCTGCAGAGGCAACTCTGCATAGTCCTGAACCATCAACCTATTATTTGGCAGCCAAGCTAACTTTGCTTTGCCCAGCGACTGAATGTATTATAGGAACAGTAGTTTTCATCAGGTCTCAGCATCCTTGCTGTCTCGATCTTTTCTTTCTTCCTCTATCCCATACCATCCACGAATCTCTCAGACGTTCTTTTTCCACACGCATAACATCACCATCAATAGACAGTCATTCAGAGTTCAAAATTTCACAAGCTCTTGTTGATTCTGCCTCTAAATCATGTAATCTTTCTCCTCTGTTACCAGCACCTGGCTGGACCTCTCATGCTCTCTTGCACCACAATTTCAGTGGCTCCCATGCTGACTGCAGTTTGCCTCACTAGAGTCTTCTCCCTCTAACATGGGCTTTCAGGCCTTGTTCTCTGACAGCCTGGACAGAACTGCTTTTGTGTGTGTTTCCATCAGGTCATGGCAACTACTTAACTATAAATCTAAAATAAAGGGGAAGAACAGAGGAATATTAGAATACCCTTTAGCTTTTGGAAATCTTTGTAATGTGACAATCCGAGGCTTTATTTAAATTCATGTCTGCCCCCTCACTCCCATACTTATTACAGCACTCAGAAAAGTGCTGGTCACACAAAAAGTTAACATTCCTTTAACCCACCCTCGTGGTGCAACAGGCAAGCCTGCTGCTGCTAATTGAGAGATTACAGAAAACCTTGTGGGGCAGTTCCATGCTGTCACCTGGGGTCGCTATGTGTCAAACTGACTGGATGGCAACAACCAACATCTACAGTGAAAAAGGAACGCTACAAACAAAGATTATTACTGGGGCCTTTGTTAAGCACTGGTGAATTTAGGTGAACAGGAAATTCTAAAAGGTAAAAGAGAAACAAACAAGTAAAGGTAAAAGAGACTCTTTTTTTCTGCCATTGTTTTCCAAGTAAAATATAAACATGGCATCATTGTTCAATGCTTTCTGTTTTGTATATTGTATTTAAACACAGTGTATGCAAATTGTCTTTGCTGTCCTATTCATTTGGGGCTGTGGGTAGCAATACTGAAGGCAGTAGCTGGGCAGGGATCTTCGTAGGTTGCTCAAAGAAATATTTCAGGTTCAGATTACGCTAGAAAATTCTGGGTAACAAATTAAATAGATCCCTTTAGTACAGAATTCTCATATGTCCCACTTGATGTGTTAATTATGGATTTCTAAGATGAAGCATAGTATATAGCCATTTCTAAACTTAATAGGGTGAATGAGTCTATTTTCTAAGCAAACCCTATTAATGTTTCATGAACTGATGTTACTCAGGAGAGTTTGGGAAACAGTAGTGTCTAATAGGGTTGTATTTAAAATGTGAATCTGTCAGGTAGTCAGAATTAACTTAATGGCAATTAAAAATAGCAGCAAGTTATATTCATGATTTTATTTTTAAATATAAGGAATTAAACTGGGTCTTGATTTTCTTATCTGGTATAATATGTTGAACAACCTTGGAAACATTCCATTTTTACTCTGCCTAATAGGGTCACCATAATTTGGAATCAACTTGAGGGCAGTGGGGTTTTGGCTTGAGTATAACTTTCTATAAGTGAATGTGTATAGTTTGTAAATTGATGTCTAATTTAAGCTGCATGTTTTAAAGTGTTTTATTTTATCCATATACAGTGACAAACAAAATAAAATATCGAGCGGAAGCCTGTATCAAAATGCAGAAAACGATTCGAATGTGGCTTTGCAAGAGGAGACACAAACCTCGGTGAGGTGGTGAACAGTGCCTGGGACAGAGTCACCTCGTCCAACATAGGACTAAGGGTGCCACCGGAAGCTCAAGGAGTTTCCTCTTTTCTCATGCCCTCTGTAAAAAGATGAAACTGTCTTTATTAATCAGATTTACTTGAAATTAGTTCATTAGTTCCCTCATTTTCTACAAAAGGACTTACAGAAATGTAAACATTATAAAAGGTTAGAGTAAATGGTTACAGAGTGGCTATTTTGACTGTCTTAGTGACTTGAGTTTCTTGGTATCTGCCAAAGTGATATTGCTAGAGTCTCATTACTGAATTACTGAAACATATTCTCACCAACTCATTAATATTTGGACCATATTTTTCAGATTATAGGAATTATCTGGAGGCCTGGTGCCACTATACATTAGGCATTGGACTGCTAACCATAAGGTTGGCATTTCAAACCTACCATCTGACCATTGAGAGACAGATGAGGCTGTGTGCTCCTGTAAAGATTTATATGTCTATTGTTCTTAAGTTATATATATGTATATATATATACTGTATATATATATTTAAGACTTATGCTCTTCAGAACTATGTAAGGTTGATATGAGCTGGAATCCACTTGATGACAGTGGGTTTGATTTTTGGTTGGGACTACATAGCTAGCTGTTCAGCATTTGCACATTTTAAACTTGAAACTATTAATTGTTGAAATCTTTACAAGAAATTAGATCAATTTTCTGTTAGTCTAGAATTTGAGTTTTAAGATTTTGTCATTCTAAATATATAAGCCTTGAGTTCCATTGACCAAGCATTGATGCCATTCACACCCAAGTTTGGTTATTTCTTTTGACCCTCAACAAGAGATATGAAAAAAAAACCCCTGAATAATAGTGGACAAATACGTAGAGTTTTTGCACTGTTTAACATTTTCTTTGTTAAAAAACTTATTGAATGGTAAAAATTAAACTCTGATGACATAACATCTTTACAGCATCGATGGCCTGGTGAAGGTGGGCACACTGAAAAAGCGACTTGATAAATTTAACGAAGTAGTAAGTGCATTGAAAGATGGGAAACCAGAAGTGAATAAACAAGTCAAGAATCTTGAAATTTCTATTGATGCTCTGATGGCCAAAATTAAGGTATTCACCTTTTCTCCAACAATGTTCACTTTTGTTCTTTTGTTCATTACCTTGAAATTTATAGGAACATTTCTATTTTTTAAACATCAAAATCATTAATGAGTATTAATTCCATATGATGACAAGTGGATGTGTAGTGTATTGTTCTCTATGGTATTTTCTATGTTTAAAATTTTCCAGTATAAAAAGAAAAAAAGGAAGACAATTTGTAATGAGTTTACATTTACTCCCATGAAAGATTTTAGTCCTTAAATAGTAATTAGTATCCCAAACAATAACTGCATATTATGTTCTGCTTATAAGCTTTTCATAATCACAATTGAGAATCAATGCACATTGAGTGATGGAAAACCAGAAGTTAACAAACAGGTCAAGAATCTTGAAATCTCTATCGATTCTCTGATGGCCAAAATTATTTTGTTTGATGCTTTCTACTTTCCTAATACTAATTTTTAAATTATAAAATAAATGTTATATTATTGGAACTTTGGATAAAACCAACCAAAAAAACTTAAATCCCTCCACACCAACACATTTAGCTTATTTTATTTGCTCATACTTTTTAATAGCTCTTTCCATAATCAACATTTAATCTTGTGTCTGTGGCATCTTGTTGTATACCTTCTACATATTATAAAGTAAGGAGTCCTGGTGATGGGTGTTTTAGATATTGGGCTGACACCCACAAGGCCAGTAGTTCAAATCCACCAGCCTCTCCCTAGGAGAAGATGAGGCTGTGTGGGTCTGTAAATACTACAGTCTAAGAAACCTTAGGGTAACTGTGAGTCAGAATTGGCTTAATGGCAGGGGAGTTATCATTCTTATGTATATTATGACATAATTTATTAAACTGCTATGCATATAGCAAATAGAGTCTTGGTGGTATAGTGGGCTATGTGTTGCCCTGATAATTGCAAGATCATCAGTTCAAATCCACCGGTTACTCTGACAGAAAAAGATGACATTTTCTACTATAAAAATGCAGTCTTGGAAACCCATCCAGGGAGTTCTACTCTGTCCTATAGGGGCGCTGTGAGTCAGAATCAGCTCAATGGCAGTGACTTTTAGAAAAGGTAGCAATTAATTTTTCCTTTCTAATTTTATGTGAAAAAATGGGTCCTCTTTTTAAAGAAATGTTTTTACCTTATTTGATTACTAGTGAGATTAAAATTTTTATGTTCTTATTTATGAATTATATTTAATTTTTATTACTCAAGTTGCATTCGAGGGTCTTAATTTTTTCCATCTCGTTTCATGTTTTTATGTAATAAAAACATGAGCGTTTGATTGCCTTATTATTGTTAGACGCCATCATATAGATTTTGATTCATAGTGACCTCATGTGATGTGATAGAACGTTCTCAGAGAATTGCCAGCCTTTCAGTTAGCAGCTGAGTGTTAAACCATTGGTCAACCATGACTCGTACATTCTTGGTTCACTAGATTTATCTGGAATAGAAAAATGCCTTAAAGTGAGCCTCCAGTTTTATTTTCTGCAAATATTTTATGTAGACTGTAATACTGTTCTGGGAGAAGAAAGGAGAAAGAAGATGAGACACTGTTCTCAACCTGTGGGTCACGGCCCCTTTGGAGGTTGAACGACTCTTTCACAGTGGTCACCTGATTCATAACAGTAGCAAAATTACAGTTATGAAGTAGCAACGAAAATAATTTAATGGTTGGAGTTAGGGGGTCACCACAACATGAGGAACTATATTAAAGGGTTGTGGCCATCAGGAAGGTTGAGAACCACTGCTATAGATAATGTTGCTGACTTTACAAATCAAAGGCTGTCTCTGTTTATACAATGCCATTATCAGTTAAAATCACCCAGCTATAAGCTTAAATACTAACATAAGTAAGCCAACCAGCCATTTTTGATGGAGTTCCTAACTTCTCAAAGACTTTTTTGGTACTATTTGAACATTTTGCTGAAGAGTAGTAAGCACCTAACAAAAATAGCTAAATCTTAAATGTTTAAAAAACTGGAACTTCTTACTTTCTACAGTGGGGTTAAATGTTTGTGTGAAGAGATAGCTTTTAAAGTCTATTGCTATTTTTTTTGTTTTAAGTCCACTATGATGACCAGGGAACAAATACAGAAAGAGTACGACGCACTAGTTAAAAGCTCAGAGGACCTCCTGAGTGCACTGCAGAAGAAAAAACAGCAGGAAGAGGAGGCAGAACGGTTGAGACGTATTCAGGAAGAAATGGAAAAGGAAAGAAAGAGGCGTGAAGAGGAAGAGCAGCGCCGGAGGAAGGAAGAGGAGGAGAGGCGGATGTAAGGCCTTCACAGCGTGGCCGCGGGACGTGGACATTTCCAGAATAGTGAATTCTTGATCTCGGGGTGTCATGAATACTGTTACTTAAAAAACAAATATTTTTATTTAAAAATTAGTCTTTGAATAAGTTTAAAAGTTGAGACTTTAGTCTATTGTAGAAGAAGAATAGAACCAACTATTACCTGAATTTTCCCTGAGGATTTCTTAACTTCTTTTTAAAAATTCTTACTTACATCTTATTTTATAAGCTTGAGAGAAGGGTACTACTATTTTTCTATAGTTTAAAAACTAGCAATTTTTAAAAAAGTCTTCACAATAGGATAGACTGAAAAAGTGTAAGGGTTTTATAGTTGAAGGAGTCAGAAATGCACACGTAATCGGGAGCTTGCTGCTGGGATTTGTAACCAAGCCAATCTGCAGTTTTAAAAATTGTGAAAATAACGAATTGCATTTGTTTTCTTTTAGCAAAATTACTGCTAGTAGAGTTAGACTTTATTTTATTCAAAATAAGTTGTTAATGCACAGGAGCAGGAGGCTAATGTGGCTTCCATTCCGTGACCCTTCTTTAGTAATAGTTAAATGGCCTTCCAAAGGATTTCCCATTTTCTACTGCATTTTTAAAGAGTTTTCTGTTGTTGTTAGGAAACTTGAGATGGAAGCAAAGAGAAAACAAGAAGAAGAAGAGAGAAAGAAAAGGGAAGATGATGAAAAACGTATTCAGGTGTGCACTTGTTAAATGATTGAATTAGATTGTATGAAAATAGAATTTCGGAGTTTTAAAACGGGGGACGTGGAAACAAGTACTTGGACTAAATAAGCCGTTACTAGTTTATTTCTCAGAGCAAACGCAGTTTCTGAGGTGGCGATGGCAGGGACTAGGGAGGTGAGGATGTTGGTCCACACCCTGCTCGGTCACTGGCACAAAGGGGATGCTGCACAGGTCACAATGAGGAACCCTTTGGGCTGTGGTTTACTCTGTAGACTGGGGATAAAAAATAGATGTGGGCATTAAATGAGTTAAGACATGTTAGAGCATTGAGAGTAGTGTCTAGTTCACTAAATGTTAGTTTTTTTGTATTGTGTTTGCTATTAGATTACCTAGTAGAATGTGAAATCATTTGAAGCATAGTTACTTATTTTTAAAAATATTTTTTAAAACTTTGTAGCTATTGGTGTTAACCAATTGGAATTCCAATTTTTTTATGCTCACATTTTTTTTAAAAGTCCTGGGTCTGGGAGTAACAAATCAGGTATCTGTCTTGACTTTCATAACATATTCTAAAAGCACAACCACTACTTAACATTTCTGGCATCTGATGTCTAGGTTTTGGTTTTGATAGTCTATCTAGTTGTTATCGTTGGTTGCCACCAAGGTGTCCCTGGCCCAGGATGTACAGATGTAGCAAAATGCTGCCCAGCCCTGCATCATCTTTATAATTGTTAGTGTGTTTGAATCCACTGTTGTGGCTGCTGTGTATTTTCAGGACCTTCCAACCTCTGGGGCTCGCTTGTTTTTTTTTAAATTAAATACTTTTATTGGGGGCTCTTACATCTCACAATTCACACAATCATCTGTTGTGTCAAGCACATTTATACACATGCTGCCATCATCATTTTCAAAGCATCTCCTTTCTACTTGAGCCCTTGATATCAGCTCCTCAATTTTCCCCTCCCCTGCCTGCCTGCCTGCCCTCATAAACCCTGGATAAGTTATAGATTATTATTTTTATATCTTACATCATCCTCTGTCGCCCTTCACCTACTTTTCTGTTGTTCATCTCCCTGGGAGGGGGCTATATGGCTATATGTTGATCCTTGTGATTTATTTCCCACCTTCCCCCATTCTCCTAATATCTCTACTCTCATTGTTAACCTGAGGGGTTAATATAGCCTAGATTTCCTATGTTGCTATTATCCGTAGCAGTGTGCATGCTCTGGTCTAATCTGATTTGTAAGGCAGAATTGTGGTCATGATAGTGGGGGGAAAGAAGCACTAAAGAATTAGAGGAAAATTGTGTGTTTCATCGGTGTTATACTGCACCCTGACTGGGTAATTTCTTCTTTGTGACCCTTCTGTGAGGGATGTTCAGTTGTCTACAGATGGGCTTTGGGTCTTCACTCCACAGCTTCCCCCTTCCCCCAACCTCAATTCACACTCGGTATGATTTTGTTCTGGGCCTTAGATGCCTGATACCTGGTCCCATCGATACCTCAGGATCACACAGGCTGGTGTGCATCTTCCATGTGGGCTTTGTTGCTTCTGAGCTAGATGGCCGCTTGTTAATCTTCAAGCCGTTAAGTCCCCAGATGCTATATCTTTTGATAGCCAGGCACCATCAGTTTTCTTCACCACATTTGCTTATGCACCCATTTTGTCTTCAGCAATCTTGTTTGAAAGGTGAGCATCACAGAATGCTGAATTATTAGAACAAAGTGTTCTTGTGTTGAGGGCGTACTTCAATAGAGACCCAATGTCAGTCTGCAACTTTAAGTCTTAACATATAGACATAAGTACATAGATCTGTTCCTCTCTTGTTATAGATAAATATTTTACATGTGTACATGCCTGTATTTGTTTATTTATTTAAATCATTTTATTGGGGGCTCGTACAACTCTTATCACAATCCATCCATCCATCCATTGTGTCAAGCACATTTGTACATCTGTTGCCATTATCCTTCTCAAAACATTTGCTTTCTACTTGAGCCCTTGGTATCAACTCCTCATTTTCCCCCTCCCTCATGGACCCTTGATAATTTATTAATTATTATTATTTTGTCATATCTTACACTGTCCAACGTCTCCCTCCACCCACTTTTCTGCTGTCCATCTCCCAGGGAGGGGGTTATATGTAGATCCTTGTAATTGGTTTCCCCTTTCCACCACACCCTCCCTCCACCCTCCCGATATCTCTGCTCTTACCACTGATCCTGAAGGGATCAACTCTCCTGGATTCCCTGTGTTTCCAGTGCCTATCTGTACCAGTGTATATCCTCTGGTTTAGCCATATTTGTAAGGTAGAATTGGGATCACGATAGTGGGTGGGGAGAAAGCATTTAGGAGCTAGAGGAAAGTTGCATGTTTCATTGTTGCTACACTACACCCTCACAGGCTCGTCTCTTCCCCGCCATCCTTCCGTGAAGGCAGGCGTCCTCAAACTACGGCCTGCGGCCACATGTGGCCCACTGAGGACATTTATCTGGCCCACCGGGTGTGTTTTTGCTACGTTTGTTTTTTACTTCAAAATAAGATATGTGCAGTGTGCATAGGAATTTGTTCATAGTTTTTTTTTTTTAACTATAGTCCGTCCCTCCTATGCATCTGAGGGAGAGTGAACTGGCCCCCTGTTTAAAAAGTTTGAGGACCCCTGTGTAAAGGGATGTCCAGTTGCCTAAGACGGGTCTTGGGTCCCCAATCTGTACTCCCCCTCATTCACAATGACATGACTTTTTGTTCTTTGATGCCTGATACCTGATCCCTTCGACACCTCATGATCACACAGACTGGTGTGCTTCTTCCATGTGGGCTTTGTTGCTTCTGAGCTAGAGGCCACGTGCTTACCTTCAAGTCTTTAAGACCACAGATGTTATATCTTTTGATAGCTGGGCACCATCAGCTTTCTCCACCATATTTGCTTATGCACCCACTTTGTCTTCAGTGATTGTGTTGGGAAGGTGAGCATCATGGAATGCCAGTTTAATAGAAGAAAGTATTCTTGCAGTGAGGGAGTACTTGAATGGAGACCCAATGTCCATCTGCTACCTTAATATTAAACCTATAATTATATGCACATAGATGTATTTCCCCATACTCATAAATATACTTGCATATGTACATGCCTTTATCTAGACCTCTATAAATGCCCTTTGCCTCTTAGTTCTTCCCTTGTTTCCTTTTACTTTCCTCTTGTCCCACTATCATGCTCAGCCTTCACTTGGGTTTCAGTAACTCCTCTCGGTTACATTACCCTTGGTCAGTCCCTACCAGGCCCCCCACACCCTCCTCACCACCAATTTTGGATCACTTGTTGTTGTTTCCTTGTCCCTGATTTGTTAACACCACTTCCTTTACCCCCACCTGCCCCTTTCCCAAGGCCATCCCCCCAACCCCCTGAACTGTCAGTCCCGTTGTTTTCTCCTCCAGATTGTTCATCCAGCCTATCTTATTTAGACAGACCTGCGGAGACAACAACATGCACAAAAACAAGACAGAGCAAAAGAAAGCAACAAAACAAAACAACATAGCAGTAAAATCAATGACCAAAAAAAAGGGGAAAAAAGAAAAGGCTGTAAATAGTTCAAGGAATGTTTGTTGGCCTTTAGGAGTGTTTTCCGGTGGAGTCTGTTGGGGTGCCAAGCCCTGGCCCCAGAGTCTATTTTTGGTATTCTCTGGGGACTTTATTGTTCTGTTCCCCTTGCTGTTCTGTTGCATGCCCTTAGTGTTTTGCCTCGGTGTGGTGGGGTCAGATCGGGCACAGTTCCTACACTGTGTCTCCATTGTTGTCCCCTGTAGGGCTATGGGTCAATGAGGGATGTCATGTCTCATAGTCGGGCCGGCCATATGATCTTTTCTGTGGATTGGAGCAGGGATATCGTCCTCATGGCTTGGTGGGCCAGGATGTGCTCCATTCTCTTTTCCTCTCCCTTCATTTGCTCCCATGTGCTCTGATCAGACATGTCCCTCTCCCTGAGCTGCAGCTTCAGTGCTGTCCTCTGAAATAAATTCTTCTGGAGGGAGGCATAGGTGTCTACACAGTTGGGATTGGGGCCGGCCCATCAGACCTCTCCACTGGTTGCCTACTCCAGGCTGGTATGTTGCATTCACATCTTGGAACATGCCTTTATTTAGACCTCTCTAAATGTCCTTTGCCTCCTGGTTCTTTCCTCTGTTTCCTTTTACTTTCCTCTTGCCCCTCCATCATGTTTGGCTTTCAATCAGGTTTAGTAATTCCTTGCTGCTACGCCCCACTAGGCATCCTACGCCCTTCTCTCCATTGATTTTAGTTCACTTGTTATTCCCTTGTCTCTGGGTTGGTTGCCTTCCCCCTTCCCTTTGCCTACCCCGCCTTCTCCCATATCCCCCGGGGAACTGTTGGTTCCGTTGTTTTTGCTTCCGAATTGTTTATTCCGCCTATCTTATCTATATAGACATGCAGAGACATTAATAAGTGCAAAACCCAGGCAAAGTCAAATGTGTTCATCTGAATAGACTAGAGAAACAAATCCACAGAAACTCATATGTATATGAGAGAGTTTTATATAAAAGGTAAGTGTACATTGAGAAAGGATCCCAACCCAGTCCAGTCCAAGTCCAGAAGTCCGACATTAGCCCATTATGACCACACTGATCTACAAAGTTCTCTTCAATCTCACAAAACACATGCAGTGATGCCGATTGCAGGAGGAAAGCCGAATCAGTGAGCACATAAGCATCTCAGTGCTGGCAGGGGTCTCCACGCGGCTGCTCCAGCACCCAGGGCTGCATTGGGATAGGTCCATGTGGCTTCTCCTCAGGGATGTCTCGCAGGAAGTAGCCTTGCCAGCTGAGGCAAAGAACTAGCTAAGGCAGCCACACACTAGTCTGATCATCAGAGGGAGACCAGAGAACAAGAAAGGCGAGGCTCACTGAGCTATTTATTTCTCCACCTTTCAATTAATCCTACATGTGTTTATCAGCCATGTTGGCACAATAAATCTTAATTATCACCCCGAACAAAACAACAAAGGATGACAAAATAGTAACAACAACAACAACAAAACCCCAAAACAAAATAACAACAAAAAGAAAGCCAATGACAAGAAAGGAAACGCCTACAAATAGTTCCAGGTCTGTTTTTTGACCTTTAGGAGTGTTTTCCTGTCGAGTCTGTTGGGGTGCCACACTTTGTCTCTCAAGTCTATTTTTGGTATTCCCCAAGGATTTCATCTCTTTGCTTCCCTGCTGCTCTTTTGCATGCTCTTGGTGTGACGAGGTCAGATCAGGCACAATTCCCACATTGTGTCTCCAGTGTTGTCCCCTGTAGCATTATGGTTCAGTGAGGGACATCGTGGTGGGGCTGTCCCTATGGGCCTCTCTGTGCATTGTCTGCTCTGAGCAGGAATATCGTCCTTGGGCCTTGGGCCCGGATGTGCCCCACTCTCTCTCTCCCCCTTCATTTGCTCCTGTGTGCTCTGATCAGACCTGCCCCTCTCCCCAAGCTGTAGATCAGTGCTGTCCTCTGAAGTGCACTCTTCTTGGGGGGGTGCGGTCCACATAGTTGGGATTGGGGCCGCCCTGCAGACCTCTCTATTAGTTCACTGGTACATGCTGGTATGTTGGATTTACGTCTTGGTGCACCGGGTTGAAGCCTGGTCTCTCTCTCCCTCTCCTGTGGAGATATAAATAATACCCTTCCCTTGGATGGGTTAGTGTCCTATTCCCCTCCTACCCAGGCCTCCCCGCCCCTGCCGCTCCCGCCCCGTTCTTTTCCCCTCTTACTTAGTTGGCTGCCATATATATCCCTGAATGGAGTTTGGCTCATAGTACCTGGACCTCACTCTTGGGGCCTCATTTTGTAGTACTATATTGGACAGTTTTTGTAATTTCTAAAGTTTTCATTGGCTGAGTTTCTGAAGTAGATTTCCAGACCTTTCTTCCTAGTCTTAGTGATAGCTAGAATATCGATGTTTGAGATGCTTATTTGAATGGTCAAAGCTGTGGTCCCTCTACCTTATTTTGGAGTTGGTTAGGCGAAGAAAGCAGAAGATGGTTTCAGAGCATGTATCTTAATTTGGACGAGAATAGGGACTAAGGAGAGTATGGCTGAACAATTGGTATTCTTAATAAATAACTCTTCTTTTGATAATAATTATGACGATCAAGTAAAGAAGCGGAGGCCTGTGGGTAAAATTGGCTCTCTGCCCTCCGCAGGCTGAAGTGGAGGAGCAGCTGGCCAGACAGCGGGAGGAGGAATCTCAGCAGCAGGCCGTTCTGGAACAGGAGCGGCGGGACCGGGAGCTGGCCCTGCGGATCGCGCAGAGTGAATCGGAGCTCATCACTGATGAAGGCCAGGCCGACCCAGCACTGCGGAGGTACTCAGGCCCTTGGGCGTGGTGCAGCAAGGGTCCTCTGTATAGCTTTCTTCACCTCTCTGCTTCTCGTTTCCATGTGAGAGGAAAATGGCGGGGGAATCATGTTCTTTAGGTCCTCTAGGAAAAGCATTTTAAAATTATTTTGCCCTCTTACATATCTACATGAATTGAACAGTTAATTTCCCATCACATAGTTAAGCTATTGAAAATTAAAATAGATATTTCAGTTAGCAAGCCCTTTGCTCAGAAAACATTGCAAATTCTATGCTGAAATTTTCTGAGAATATTAAATAGAAAGAAATACAACTTTTAAGTACTTGTCATACACTGGTGTAGGAGTAAGTGGATGTAGTATAATGCAGTTTAAATTATTTGAGGTTGAGGTTGTGAGTTTTCTAACGGCAAGGTGCTTCTGTGTGCTGAAGACAGTATACATCCCAACATTTAAAATGAGGGAAAATCCCTCCTTCTGTGTCTCACAATAAATGGATTGTCCTTTCCTAGAAGAGTGATTAAGCATGTTGAAATAAGTTGTTTCCTATGCTTTTTCCATTGTCTTTGTATTCTAGGATAGTATGGAGGATTGTGGATGTTGGATATTTTAGGAAAGTTTTACTGTGCCTGGTTCATTATTTAAAACAAATGGACATGATAGTGTTTTGTTCAGTTATATACACACTGCAAAAAAAAGAAACATTCGTTTGTGCGGTCCTTGTATGTGTGAGTGTATATGCTGTGTATATATGTACCTAAAGAGACCTATCTGAATATCTGTAATCATGCTTTTCAGAATTTAAATATAATTGAAGCACAAGCAGTAGTAGGTGAAACTATTTCCTTGTGAAAGAAAACTCGTGGCTTCTAATTGCAGGACAGTGGTTAGATTTTAAGGAGCCCTGGTACCAAAATGAGCTTTGGTGGCACTGTCAAACAATTACAAGGTCAGTGGTTCCAACCCACCAGGCACTCTATGGGAGAAAGATGAGGCTGTCTGCTCCTGTAAAGGTTTATAGCCTGGGAAACTCTATAAGGGTTGCTATTAGTCAGATCAACTCCATAGCAGTGCGTGTGTAGATAGTACAGTGGTTAAACACATGACTGCTAACCAGGTCGTTGCTGGTTTGAACCCACCAGCTGCTTTTGGAAAGAAACCTGCTTTGGTAAACTTTACAGCCTTGAAAGACCTATGGGGCAGTCTGCTCTGCTCTACGGGGTTGTTATGAATTGAAATGGACTTAATGATAGTGAGTGTGGTTAAGTTACTTTCGTGAAAACAAAAGTACCCCTCCACTGCCATTGAGTCAATTCCAACTCATAGTGACCCAGAGGACTTGGTAAACCTGTTCCTGCCGGCTTCTGAGACTGTGAATCTCTCTCCTATGGTGCGGCAGGGGATTTGAGCTGCTGACCTTGTGCCTATCTCCCTAACGTTTAACACACCATGCCACTAGGGTTCCTTGACAACAGAAATAGGAAAAGGGCATTTTAGTATGCTTTCTTCTTCTTTTTTTTCTGTTGAGGGTCTCAGTTGTATATGAAAATATACTGAAAACACTTTGGATTGCTGTTGTTAGTTGCTTCTGAGTTGATTCCAACTCTTGACCATCTCAAATAAACTAAATATAATGTAAAGTATGATAACTATCAACTCTTGGATTTGAGTTGAATGACTGGCCTTCTGTTAGCATTTCACTATAATGAAAGTCTTCACACTGCCATCGCTTTCGTAGGTGCTTAGCTCTCTGGGGTGGTTGTGATTGGAGCCGATTGGATGGCAGTGTGTTTGATTTTGGTTTATGACTTTGGCGGAACCCTGGTGGCATAGTGTGCTTAGCATTGACTTGCTAATGATGAGGTTGATGGTTCATACCCACCATTTGCATCATGAAAGTAAGGTGAGGCTGTCTGCTCCTATGAAAACGTACAGCCTCAGAAACTGTAAGGAACAACAGTTCTCCTCTGACCGATAGGGCCACTGTGAGTCGGCATGGCTGGATGGCAGTGGGGTAAGGCATGCTGGTGATGTAGTGATGAAAGCACTCCTCTACTATTTGAGAGATCAATACTTTGAACCGACCACAGGACAAGGATGTGGTAGAATGCTTCCATAAATAGTACTCCCGACTGCTCTAGCCGCCGTAAGTCCGAATCTCCGAGGAAGTACTGCATTTGACAGAGCTGACTTTACTGTGGTTGCAATTGATTGCAAGGGACTCAATGGAGCCATATGAAAGCACACCGAGTGCCATTCTTTGTGATACAAGATACTGGCTCCTATGCAGACCTGTTTTTATCTTCAGAAAGGTGTGCTACTCCCAGGGTAGGTGGTGTCTGAGAAAGTGTGGCCATTTAGGACCTTTAATGAGAGGTGCTCTGCATCTGAAATGAAGTAGAATTAGCTAGGAAAGCCTGTTTCTCAGTAATTAGCATCTATTCCCGACATTATGGCCTTGACCGGCAGAAGTGTTTCTGTTCTCCTGTGTATAGATCCCTCTGGAATGGCCGTTTACATCTTTCCCAAAGCTCTCCCTGACCTTCCTATGACCCTCAGGGTTATGTTACACTCTTTGTATGCTGCACAAGGCATTGCCACGTGTCAGAATCAACTCAGTAGTAAGAACAACCTCGTTACAGGCTTTGGCACTTTATTATGGGTGACGTTCTGTTCGCATTTTCATGCTTGATAATGTGGTGCACTATAGTCAAAACGTTTCAGAATGTGTATCTTTATCTTTGCTAGCACGAATCTCTCTATAATTAATTAATCAGAACTCTGAATAAGCCGGTTCTTAACATGTTGTATTAAAGTGTGGTTGGTGGGGTCTGTGACGGATCAAAAATAAACACATGAGATCTGCTGCAATAAATAATTTTAAGTTACTTTTTCAGCTTGGATTCTCATCCTGTAATTTCTAAGTAAGAACTATTTTCCACATTTGTAGTATATTTTAAAATCTTACCGTACTCTATGGCATAAAAAGTGATTTTAAATTACTTAGACATTTCTGATTTTTAAAAATATCACTATATATGAATTTTTTCAATCTAGATTTAATATTTTTGTTTGATTTACATTGAATTGAATCCATTAATTCATTCTTTTATAATCAATTTTAATCAAGATTGAAAAATATATTAAAATTCTCATACATAGAAGAAATATAGTAGAATTCTAAATTAATGAAATAATTGAAACAAATTCTCACAATCAAAATGTTGACAATCATTTGTTTGTGGTATTAACTAAAGTATATTCTTTTCACAGAAATGATGGAGCAAGACCCAAAATGACCCCGTATGTCATTTCCCACTTTCAATATTTCATGTACTGGTTTGAAAAATTTTAAATAGGATATGGGTACTTTTCCTTTTTTTAGGAGAAGTAAGTTTACTTATTGAAGGATATTTCAAGTTATTTTCTTATTAGATAAAGAGAACACTATAACTCATTTTCCTATTTGTGGGGGCCAAGACAGGTGGTTCATACTCTCTGTAGAGTGTTCAGCACAAGAGTGCAGGATTGTTTTCCTTCTTTGTGTTTTCTGATTTTGATGAAACTGTAACATGTATTATCTTTTATGTGTTTTAAATGATTCCTTACTTCTTTAATGAAGCAGATAAGAGACATTAATAAGAATAAATAAAATAGTTAAAGTATTTGAGTCATAAAAGCTTAGTTTTTGTATTTTAAGCTTGGGGGGGTTTGGTAAAGAAATCTGGGGGTTAGATATAAGGTGCACATTTCAATAGCGCTCATTCTCTAAGGCAGAACTCCGTCTGCAGAACTAAGACATATCTCAAAAAGCTAAGAACATACAAAGGTGGCAAATATAAGGCAGTCTTAAGTTGCCTATTATTGGGCAACTTCAAAATCAAGAGGTTTGACAGAAGCCTGATGACACCCATGTAGCAGTCTTTGTCACCTTCTCTCACTTGGGCTTTATAGCCGTCAATCCAGGGGAGGGAGTATTTCACTTCCTTTAATCTGCAACAGGTGTGTTTAAGGTGAAGTCCTGTTCAGGTAGTTTCCTGAATCAGATGCTTTTGATGTGGCCTATGGAGGATTCTGTACAACTCAAAAAGTAAAATCGAAAATCCAGGTAGATTGTAGTACGAGGCCTCAGTCACCAAAGAATGGAAAGGAGCCCAGTCACAATGCACGATCAGCAATCAGATGCCGGCAGGTTCTCACCCTGGTGGGTTCATATAGCAATGTCAATGTTTCCCCAAGGTAAAAGCTTAGTTTTTAATATGTGATAGTTCATTTCCGCCAGTATCCAAATGATGTCGTAATCTGAAATTATAATTCTAAAGTTGGTGCTAATATATTGTTTTGTTACAAAAGTTTAGAGGGAGAATCCAGGTAACCTTTGGAATACATATAATATCTGATTTTTAACAGCTTTAACAACCTCAATTAACACTTTTTAAGTGGTGGTTCATAACTCTGTCCATCTTTAATATCAACAGCAAATGTTTTGTAAGTGATATGGTCTATATAGAAAACCCTTTATTTCAAACATGAGGGGCTTCAAAACGTTTGTGGCAAAATTGCCTTAAACTTTAATTCAATTTTCCCACAGATTTTTTGAGGTCCCCTTGTTAATTCATATGGAGAAGAACTGATAGTATAGGTACTTATAATAAAATACTTATTTTAATATGAAAATGCATGGGCTCAACAACAGCAGAAGACATAAGTAAAAGCAGAAAGGCTTTTACTTAAACAAAGGACCACTGTGACAAGTACACAGCAGGTCGGTGCAGTCACCCAAATGAAATTGTTAACTATCCTTTGTAATGTATTGAATGAAGCAAAGTACAGTTTCTTCTAGATTAAATGATAGTTCCAGCCTCAGAAAAATTCCGTGACTATTAAAACCATGCAAAGAAAATGTTGCTTACATGTAATACTCTGTAAACATGTGTTAGGGGATACCACTCCCCTGCTGAAACAGAAAAAAAAAATCTCTGCTAGACAGACCTTTTGTAGTACATATTTTTCTCACTAGGTGAACACTGAGCAACTCACTGTGTTAGTGCATCCAGTGGCATTGCCTGGGAAGGTTCTCTCTGGTCACGGTGAATTTTTTCTTGAAAGCAGTTTCGCTTGAACTTCGTTTTTGGTGATGGCTGATTTACGAGAACAGTGTGTGACTGTGCATTTTGATTCCTGCATGGGAAAAGTGCTGTAGAAACTGTTGTGATGTTGAACACAGTTTACAAGGACAGCACTATGGGGAAAACTCAAGTGTATTAGTTGATTTCTTGTTTCAAAAAAGATGAAATGTCGATTGATGACAAACCTTGTTCTGGACATCCGTCAACATCCTGAATGGATGAAAATGTTGACAAAATTCATGCACTTCTGTTCAGAGACCATGGGCCACTGAAGAAATGGGGAAATTATCCGGACTATCTTGGAGCTCAGGTCAGCGAATTTTAATGGAAGATTTGGGAATGAGAAGGGTCACTGTGAAATTTGTGCTGTGGGATCTGACTGACCAAGAAAAGAGCATCAACTACAATATGCTGTGCTTTTAAAGAACAGCTCTGAAGCACCCAGACTTTTTCCCCAAGGTCATTACTGATGATGAGACATGGTGCTAGTTATGACCCTGAAAGCACACATCAATCAATCAAGTGGAAGAGATGCCATCATCACCTCACCCAAAAATAGCTTGTCAAGTGAAATAAAATATCAAGATGATGCTCATTTGTCTTTTTGATGTGAGGGGGATAGTGCATTTAGAATTCGTTCCACCAGGTCAGACTTAATCAAGTGTTCTATTTAGATTTTCTGAAAAGATTTTGTAATCATATACAACAAAAAAGGCTGCTTTGTGGTAGACTGGGGACTAGTTTTGCCACCCTGACAATGCACCTGCTCATATGTACATCTCAGTGTGCTAGTTTTTGGCAAAAAGCAACATGCTTTTCTTGTCCCACGCACTTTACTCACCTGACCTCATGCTATGCAACTTCTTTTTGTTTCCACAAATGAAGAGGAACATGAACCAACAATGATTTGACAACTTAGAAGAGGTGGAGAAAAAACAAGGGAGGGTGCAGTCAGCTATCCAAATGGATGAGTTTGATATTCCCAAAATGGAATAGCAGATTTGGCAAATATACTAAGTGTACTGGAGAGTATTTTGAAGATGATAAGATTGTTTTGAAAAAAATTTAAATACATAGCTCAGGGCAGTGCGAGGGGCATTTGTTTTTTTGGAGGGGTACCCCCTCATATATGTATATCACAGTTCATCTCTGTACTTTGGTGGACACAGTGACATCACCTGGGCTGTGGGACAATTCTTTCTTCCTTGTGCAGAATGTTTGATTCTTGCCCCTTTTCCACCAAGGCCGTTAGACTGCTCAAGCAATGCTGTTGCTACTGTCCGGCCACCAGACGCTCATGGGGGCACTTTCGGCCTCTCTAAGAATAGCTGCTCTGAGTTACCTTTTGCAGTGGAACTAAATAAAAAATTTAGTGCACAAAATAATTATAAGAAATTACTTCCTGAAAAGATTTCATAACAGTGTACAAATAGTGTATTAAATAAGTCCTGCAACTTACATCTAAGGTAAAATCGTGAACATTTAGTTCCACATTGGTCACATCAGAAGAAGAAACCTAGGTTAGTAACATCTGATTGGGAAAATCATCAGAGGCATGAGCCTTTTTGACCAGGGCATTTGGTGGCATACCCCAGTGCAGAGGACCCAGTGGAGTGCTGAGTCAGTAGCCATTGCCATCCTGTGTGGTGACCTGGCAGAAGGAGATTTCTACAGAAGGTCAAACATCAAGTGGGAGAAGCTCTAAAAGGCCCGAGAGCCCTTGAAACCTGCTGTGGGAAAAGAAATGGAGGAAAATCCAGAAGAAAGAGATGGGGAAAACCAGAGATGTCCTTTGATACTGAGACAAAAATTGTTGAGGTTGAGTGAGAATAGAACTAAAAATATTGTTTGAAATAACCCTGAATTTGGGAGTTCAGAAAAATCCTGAGAAACTACAACTTTTATAGAGATTGGTAGACACAATCAAAAGATAAATTTTATTGACCATATATACTTGGGTATAAGCCGAGTTTTTCAGCACATTTTTAATGCAGTTTTTGTGGTAAAATTAGGTGCCTCGACTGATATTTGGGTTGGCTTATACTCAATTATATACGGTAATTGTGTTTGTGTATTTTGTCTTTGTTATACTTGATCATAGGTTTTTTGTTTTTTTCTTCTCGGTCAACCCTTTTATTCGGCAGGCGGGGAGGGGAGGTGCTGAGGGCTCAAGCTGGTGAAGGGAGGCGGTAGGCCAGCCCAGAGGGCAGGAGTCCAGGGCACTGTCACAGTAGATCAAGGAGTGCCAAGTGGACCACCACGCTGACTGCAGAGGCAGCTAGCCCAGTGAGAGTGCGGCTAGGTGTGTGCAGTGTGACAGGGGCGGGGTCGGGAAACTGGGCTGCACAGGGCAGGTGGTGGGGGTTCCGTTGCAGGGTGGAGCAAGGGCGGACTAGGGGGCGTGGGCTACAGGAGGTAGGTGGGCCAGGAAGGGCGGTCTGGCAGAGAGGAGGCACCCTGCCCCTTGGGTCAAGAGGAACAGCTGTCACGTGGTGAGTTTGTCACCTGCAGCCCAGGTGAGGGTGCCCTGGGGCAGGCCTCACGCAGCACGATGCGCACCACCTCATCAACATCGGTCCTGTGTGGCTGGTTCCTCAGCCATCAGGTCTCGGAAGCCAGGCTTCTCCAGCGGCTCTGGGGCCATCAGCTGCCTCTCCATTCGGCACTCTTAGTAGTCTTTGGACTCGCTTCTGCCTGGGCACTTTCAAAGGCACTGTCCCGGAGGCACTTCGTGAACTTCTCCTGGAAGCGCTTGCACTCGCCTAAATGGTCCAGCGGGAAGCTGCCCTTGTCCGGGGGCCGCGGCTGGAAGCTCTTGGTCCCGAAGTTCATGGCCGTCGACAAGATTGCCTGGGAACTCCATCATAGGTTTTGAAATACATCTTTTTTTTCTCTGTGCGTTTACTTGGCTAGACTACTATTATCAGTACCAATTGTAGCCGTTGCTCATTACAAGGAAATTGGGATCCAGGAGTCCACCCTTCCTTGGTAATCAGGGTCCTAATTGGTGCCTAGGCATCTAGGAAACGAAAATTCGTCTTAAAGCAAACACACCTACTTTTTCTTACAAGTTGTATGGATTTTTAATGTTCTGAGGTTATCAGAGTCTGAGGAGTAGAATACATAAGAATATTATTAATTATGGAAGGAAGAGAACAAAGAGCAGGAAAAGAAAATAAGGACATTAATGAACTGTTGATGGACATGAAACTTGGAGGACATTGCAGAGAATTAAGCAACTATTGAGAAAATTTACACTCTTGTGGAGAATAAAAGAAAAGTAAGTTTTTGCCTTTGGGAAATATGGCTTGCAAGGTCAGAATGCTTCAGATCTTTAAGAAGAGCTTCGTGTACTTGTAGTGTTCTTCTTTTTTCCTTCTTTTAGCATGCTTTGACTTAGAATGTTAGAGCTTTGAATTCATCAGAATATTATTAAGCTCAGACACAGTAGAACACAGCAGGTTGGTTTATCGTCTTTATGTCTTGTCTAATTCATGTTTATTAAGCAAGTACAGGACGAGAATCTGTGTATAGAAGGTATACTGCCTAGTTTCTCTATGCAATCAGGAAGAGCTGTTTGCACCCTATGCTTAGAAAATACTGCAAAGCTTGGTTCTTAGGGGATTTTATCTAGAAGCTACTTGATGCTACAGGAGGAGTCAAATAACTTCAGCTGAATGTAAACAGAAGTTCTGCTGTATTTTATATCATGGATTAGGGGTAGTAAAGTAATTGTAAATTGGTAATAAATCAATAATCCTAGTGAAGATGCTAGCACTTTAAAGTAATTTATGTAGCATGTCTTTTATATAACCGTGGTATATTATTGTTTTTTACAGGGAACAAATGGCCAAAGAAATGTCAGAAATTTTGAATAGGTCAGTGTAGTATAATTTGGGAAATAAAAGCATACCTGAAAATCATATTTTTAAATCACTTTTGATTACTTGGACCCAGTACCTGATACATGAATAGTCTGTCTCTTCCATGTAAATTTTCTGTATGAAAAATATCACTCCCCTTCTAACATTGAAAATGGTAAAATGCAATGTTTTTTTAAATTTGTGCTTCTCAATCTGTACACCGTTGTCATGTTGGATGGATAATTCCTTGTTTGTGGCACTGTCCTGAGAATCAGTGTCCCCCACCATTTCAGTCCTGTGTAAGGGGACCTTCTGTCACATTGCGACAAAATGACTATTTTATCATCTTGAAACTCCCTCTAGGGTTGGCATTTGGGCAGCTCTGTGATTGCTGTAGGCCATGAGTAGGGGCTGTGGACTCCTGAGAGGCGCTGCACCGCAGCACTGAGTTTCAGAACCATTAGTGTGAAAATGCCGCCCGGCAGGATCTGTTCATTGTCTTTATAAATGGATATGAATCAATAACATTTAACTGCCAATTATAAATTGTGGAAATGCTAAATTAATATATTTTTAAAATCAGAAGCTAATTTTGCTACCACCTTACTCTCTCTTTTATATGATTGCCTTTATAACCAATTGCAGCAACCACTGTGTTGCATCTTTATTTCACTGTTTTAATAACCCCAGAGTTATTAAAAGCACTGAAGTTCATTGCTTTCACGTGCTTCTCAGGATGCTGCATACATATTTTAGCAAGCATATTTTTGTTTGAGGTATGTGAATGAAAAGTTAAGAATATTGAAACTGTATTTTAAGACACAATATGAATTCATTGTTATTTTAAGTTTCAGAACACATGTATATTCTGCCAATCTACAAAACTGCATATTATGTAAATTTACTTCCTTTTTCAAAAGAAAAAAAAAGTGATAATAATTTTCAGCTGCTTAGTTAGAAAAGACTCCTGGAAGTGCAAGAAAAAGACATTTTTTTGTTAGTTTATTGAATGGTGGTTTAAGGAAGCAGGAAAAAAAAGACTTGAATAAGTGTTGCAGCACGATTTCTTGTGAAAGGTAACAGCGAAACCGTGCTGGCACACAGCTGGCTCTCTTTGAGCAAAGCAATTAAGAACAGAAAGCTACGTGGAAAATCACTAGTCACAGCTTTTGAAAAGTGTAGATCATACCATAAACCTAAAACAGCTTTTAAGCATAAAGATGGAGGAAGGGCTACTGGCTACACTCATTATTCTTTTGCCAGTCGTATATGTGATTAATCATACCTGTGCTTAGCAATTTTTAACTGTGCGAGGTGAAGGGTGCTCTTTTATATTTCTCTAGATGAAAGCATAAACAGCCCTTTCAAAGGTGCAAAAACACTGTATTTTCTTGTTAAGCTTACTATTATAGGAATGATTTTCTTTCCTTCAAGAACAGTTAGACATTTTCAAATGTCATTTTTTTCAGTAACGGTCTCATCACACATCTGTGACTTGATAGTTTACCAAGATTGCTAATTTCTTTTAAAATGTAAAGTGATGAGATCAAATATGGATAAATTAGCTCATTTTCTGATAGTCCACCTTCACGGTCCCTGTTCAGGAGAACATGCTTGCAAGCAATAAATCATACTTTGGGCATGTTGTCCGGAGGGCCCGGTCCCGCAGAAGGACAGCCTGCTTCTTCAAGTAGTGGAGCAGCGGATGGGGGGAGGCCCTCAATGCGATGGCTGACACAGCGGCTGCACAGGGGGCTCAGGTCAGGAATAATAGTGAGGACGGTGCGGGACCACGCGGTGTTTGTTCTGTGGTGCACAGGGTCGCTATGGGTTGGAACCGATTCGATGCCACCGAAGAACAACAGAGACAATTAACGAGAAATTCCTTGAGTGATAACAGAAGTAACATGTTAGTCTGTTTATTTACTATTTCTGCCATC